GGGGGGTTGTTATCAGCACGCAACAACAGTGCATCGAGCGATTTGTAAATGAAACTCGCTGGATAGGTGTTAAAGAGCGTGGTATTTCATTACGCCCGCGCTTCGATTCGCAACCTGTGTAGTAGAATCTTGACCCGACAAGTTGCCGAGTGCCGCTTACTCGCTATATGTATACCGCACCGTTTAGATGTTCTCAATCGCGTGACCCTCGGCGATCGGCGTTTCTGAATCATGTGCGCGCACGCCCGCGCCTACATACGATCTTACGATACGTAGTATCGTCGATGAAAAAGAAGGGAGAAGAAGAAGAAGAATTTATCGGTCGTGATCGGCCCCTCGAGCCTGTTTCATTTTCGACGAGAAAATTTGCGACATACATCATCGAAACAACTTACGACGAACGTTAACGACCGATTATCGCGATGTTTCGAGTGGAACTCGAATCGTTCCGGGCGGGCAAACACAATAGCAGCAACGATACGGTCCGCCGTCCCGTTGTCATCGCGTACGCGAAGCGTCATTAATCTTTTTCCATTGGCGGACGGTAGCGAGCGCACGAAATAACAAGGTCGCGTGCGCGAAAGAGAAGAAACGTGCGCAATAAGAAGTTTGGAGCAGAAGGAGGAGTTGAAGGAGGAAGAAGAAGAAGAAGAAGAAGAAGAAGAAGAAGAAGAAGGTTAAAGACCGGCACGTACGCGCGGGCGCGCACGCGCGCGTGTACACGCTCGCGCCAGCGCTAGCCAGCTACACTGGTACTTTGTGTAAGCGCGCGCGCGAGACGCCGCCGCGACGAGGAAGGAACTCGGGGGACGAAAGTCAGCCAACAAGTAGAGTAAATGTGACTCACCACGTGAACGCTGGAGAGACCGACCGGCTCGCTTTGCTTCTTGTCCGTTTTCTTCGCCTGTCGTTTCGCCTTGCTCTCGAGGAAGCGTTGCTTCAGCACCAGCGTGTCCTGAATATTTTGCTCGCACAGCCCGTTGAAGCTCTGGTCGAATCTCGGTATACAGTCGGTCTGTCTGCGCCGATAACTTTCGATCCTACGTCGGAGACGATCGACGACCGCCTGTCTCTTGGGGGTGAGTACCTCACCCATGCCAGGTGCTTGACCCATTTGTTGCTGCAACTGCAGCTGCTGGCTGGTTAGGTTCAACTGGCCGGCCGCATTTAAATCGTGAATCCCGGCTGCTGATTGGGCCAGAATGCTGTTCTGCAGATTGTTTACGTTGTTGGCGTTGTTAGCGTTGGCGTTGTTAGGAGCCTGGCCCACGCAGACCGAAATCGGGCCAGGCGCGGTGCCGGGGGGGCCTTGCGGGGGCTGGCGGGGCAGGAGCCCCCCGGCCTCCATACAGCCCCCTAAATCCACCGCAGAGTAAGCCAGCTCAGTGAGAACCTCTGCTACCGAAGCGCCTGACGCACGCTACTGCTTCTGCTTCTGCTTCTGCTTCTGCTACGACCTCGTCTCCCGCCGCTGCCCTCCAGCCGGGCATCCTCTGCCACCCTGCCAATGCGACGATCCTCAACTTCCGGTCAAGACGCATTTGGAATATATATGTATCGTCGCGTCGTTCGCGCCTCGACCCACCGCTGCACCGCGCGATTCAACTTCCTCCTGCAATTCTCTCTCTCTCTCTCTCTCTCTCTCGCTCTCTCGTTCTCTCTGCCAGCACGCCAACGCCAACAATTACTTTTTCCAACGATCCACTGGACTTCTACTAATTCCCGTCGATTCTACTCGCTCGTTTCCACTCAGTTTCCACTCAATCCTTGACAGTACGTGCACGAAATGTAACAGAGTACAACAAGCATGCACGGCCGGCACACACGACAGAACACACGACACCGCTCGCATGTATAAATCCTCGTTCGATACGCACTTGCAGTTCAATCTCTGTTTCCGACTCGACGAACAAGATCCGAACGACACGTTAAATACAATGTTCGCCACCTTGTGTCTCTCGTGTAAAAGAAGTTTTCGAACTGTCACTCTTGACGAGACGCGCGCGAAGATTCGACAGTAGGACGGAACGTTCACCGCGCGCGACTAAGTTCAGGGCCTGGAAACTCCGTTTATACAAGAGGCGCCCAAATTGCCACGCCATCTGATAGTGATCTTTACAACTAAGCGTAGTTGGCGCCATGTATGAAAGCCATACTTTCTTAGATTCCGTTCGGTATAAACAATGAACGTTTATCGATTACGAAATTGCGTTTCTCTGTCTCGGATACGTTGCTCTCATTCGCGACCAATGTCTTTTAACAAAGAATTGTCACAAATGTGGTAAAGTCGAAATATTTACAATCAACGTATTTGAAATAAATGTTCATTTCGCTTCTTCGGCATAGAATATATACGTACAGGGCTATGAATATTTTGGTTCTTGAATACA